GGAGAGTGGGTGACATGTCACATGACCTGCACTGTGCTGGTTTCCCTTCCTCAACACAGCGCGTCTTATACTCAAGGACTTCAGAAGTTCTGGGAAAGAATAGAATGAAAAGATAGGCTCATTTTGTTGTAAACATTTTTGAAGTCTCTCTATTATTTTTTTAAGATCTTTATTTTTATTTATTTGAGAGGCAGAGTAACAGAGAGAGGAAGAGACAGAGAGAGAGGTCTTCCATCCACTGATTCACTCTCCAAATGGCTTCAACAGCCAGATTTGAGCCTATCTGAAGCCAGGAGCCAAGAGCTTCTTCCAGTTCTCCCATGCAGGTGCAGGTGCCCAAGCACTTGGGCCATCTTTTACTGCCTTCTCAGGACATAGCAGAGAGCTGGATTGGAAGTGGAGCAGCTGGGACTTGAACCTGCACCCATATGGGATGCCAGTGCTGCAAGCAGATGCTTAACCTGCTACACCACAGCACCGACCCCTAGTTTTTTAATACACACTCTCCATGAACTTCTTGAAGATTTCCCATGTGCCTGAAAGTCAAAATTTTTTTACAGCAAAAGAAACTTATCTTTTACTTCCATTTTCCACAGACTTCTTGAAGTACTTGTATTTTTTTTTTAAAGATTTATTTATTTATTTAAAAGGCAGAGAGAGAGAGAGATCCCTCTGGTTCACTCCCCAAATGGCCTCAATGGCTGGAACTGGGCTGATCTGAAGCCAGGAGCCAGGAGCTTCTTCAGGGTCTCCCATGTGGGTGCAGGACTTGGGCCATCTTCTGCTGCTTTCCCAGGCACATTAGCAGGGAGCTGGACGGGAAATGGGGCAGCAGGGACTTGAACGAGTACCCATATAGGATGCTGGCACCACAGGCAGCCCCAGTAGGATCATTTTTCAAATTGAGGTATTTCTGTTGGGAGCCAGGAGCAGCGAGCAGACGGCTCGGCCATCAGCGATGGGGGCGCTTCTCCAGGCGAGGCCCAGACAGTGGTGGGCAGGATGTTGGCTCATCCTGCCAGCCATGAGGCTGCTCCAGGGTGCAGCTCCCGGGTCTCGAACCCCTCAGTCACAACTGCAGCCCGAGGCAGGACAGCTGTGTTCACCGCCGTGCAGCTGCATCGATTCTACCATCCACATTTCAGCTGTGTGCACGTATCGCATGTGTTATCTCCACTACCCACGCTCTTCACCCTTCCAGCTCTTTATTTATTTTAAAGATTGATTTATTTATTTGGAAGGCAGAGTTACAGAGAGGCAGAGAGAGAGAGAGAGAGAGAGAGAAAGGGTCTTCCATCCACTGGTTCATTCCCCAAATGGCCGCAGTGGCCGGAGCTGTGCCAATCTGAAGCCAGGAAGCCAGGAGCTTCTTCCAGGACTCCTACGGGGTGCAGAGGCCCAAGGATTTGGGCCATTTTTTACTGCTTTCCCAGGCCATAGCAGAGAGCTGGATCAGAAGTGGAGCAGCCGGGACTCAAACTGGCGCCCATATGGGATGCTGGCGCTGCAGGTGGCGGCTTTGTTCGCTAAGCCACAGCGCCAGCCCTGAAGTACGTGTATTTCTAATGCTGTTTTCATCCTGGTGTAGAAAGTCTATAAGAACACTTGGAAGCTGAGAACATCTTACTCATTTGACTACTGGGAAGTGGGTGAAGCTTCCTTCTTTAACATCTGTTCTTCTTGGTGGTCTGGAACAGGCTACATTTGGAGTCACAGTTGAGTGGGACACTTCTCTGTTAGGACAGTGTGAGCAGGGTGGAGAGGGACGATCCATGTGCGGGGTCTGGGCGAAGGAGCTGCCATGCAGTGCTCTTTCCAGTATGGCCTTGCATGTGAGGGGGCTTCAGAAACTTCATGGAAAATGCATCTTACGAGAAAACCCTGCATGGATTTTGAACAATTTTTTGCACCAAAGTAAACAACTCTGTTTTTCCTGAGGTTTTTGAAGTACTGGATCCTGGAGCTGCATCTACAGGTTGGGAAGAAGTTTTTATAATTAGGCTACAAGCCTGGAACGAGGAGAGGATGCACTTAAGTCCAATTTTGATCCTCTTTTGATTTGGTCTGAGTCACTGGTATGCATGTGTCTTCCATCCACAAATACTTTTTTTATGCGGCTTTTTTAAATAAAAAAAATTTATTTGGGGTCCAGTGCAGTGGTACAGCAGGTTAAGCTGCCATCTGCAGCACTGACATTCCATATGGACACCAGTTCGAGTCCTAGCTGCTCCACTTCCAATCCAACTCCCTGCTAATGCACCTGGGAGAGCAGCAGAAGTTGGCTCAACTGCTTGGGCCTCTGCATCTACATGGGAGACCTGGATGAAGCTCCTGGCTCCTGGCTTTGGCCTGCCCCAGCCTTGGCTGTTAGAGCCATTTGGCGAGTGAATCGATGGGTTGGGAAATTTCTCTCTCTCTCTCTCTCTCTCTCTCTCTCTCTCTCTCTCTGTCTCTCTGTAATTCTGACTTTCAAATAAATGAATAAATCATTGAAAAAAATTCAAGAGTGATAGACAGAGATCTCCCCTCTGCTGTTTGCTTCTCAAATGCCTGCAATGGCTGGGGCTGGGCCAGGCTGAAGCCAGGAGCCAGGAACTTCTTCCAGGTCTCCCATGGGGGTGGCAGGGGCCCAAGGTCTTGAGCCATCGTGTGCTCCCTCTTGGGTGCATCAGCAAGAAGCTGGATTGGAAGCATAGGCGGCACTTGATTCCAGGATGGGCGTGTCCTCAGCAGCAGCTTGACCCTCTGTGCCACATAGTGTCCGTTCCAGTCTGGAAGTAGTTTTTGAGGGCCTACTGTGTGCCTCATGCTGCTGTAGCTGCAGAAGGAGCAAGATAGAGGCATCTGTCTCCTCTGAAGCTTGCCCTGGAGTGTTGGTGATGGAGCCCAAACAGGAATAAAACACCGATCAGAGAGCATGGCAGAAAGTTCATGGGAAGTGGGTATTATGAAAAAACTGTGAATAGGCTTTGAAATATTTTTGCTCCCAAATAAGTTTCTCTCTTCCATTTTTCATGCAATGTGTTAAGTACCCTGGCACTACCAGATGGTGATGAGAGGAAGGGACACAGTACAGCCAGGCAGGGACTGGGCGCCGAGGGGTTGCAGAAGCCTGGGAAAGGGCGTTTGGCAGGGAGGGGGTGGCAGGTGACTCCTGGAGGCCCCCTGGGGTTTGGGTGGGTGGTGAGGAGGAGAATAGACTCTGGCAGGATCAGAGGAGCAGAGAGGAGGCAGGGACCCAGTATGTGGCAACACTTACACCTGAGAAGGGTGGCTGTGAAGTGGGAGCGACTGGGAAGGCGGGAATCCTGCCTTGGGCTGTCCTTGTCCTTCTCCTTCAAATTTAGCCCCTTCCGTAACAGGGCAGGTGTTGGAAGGAAGCAGCACCGGGGACCCAGGAGCAGATGAGTCATTTCTGAGTTACTGTCCTTGCAAAGCAGGAGGGGGAGTCCAGCACAGGTACCTTCAGGTCCCTTGTATTTTTAGGGATTAAAGTTGAGGGGAGGCCGGCGCCGCGGCTCACTAGGCTAATCCTCCGCCTGTAGCGCCGGCACACCGGGTTCTAGTCCCGGTCGGGGCGCCGGATTCTGTCCCGGTCGCTCCTCTTCCAGTCCAGCTCTCTGCTGTGGCCCGGGAGTACAGTGGAGGATGGCCCAAGTGCTTGGGCCCTGCACCCGCACGGGAGACCAGGAGAAGTACCTGGCTCCTGGCTTTGGTTCAGCACGGTGCGCCGGCCACAGCGGCCACTGGGGGGTGAACCAACGGAAAAAGGAAGACCTTTCTCTCTTTCTTTCTCTCTCACTGTCCACTCTGCCTGTCAAAAAAAAAAAAAAAAAAAAAAAAAAAAAAAAAGTTGAGGGGAAACTTCCTTAGCGTGGGAGATGGCCTCTGTGAGAGATGTGCCTGTTCCCTCTCCAGGTTTCTTAGAGAGTCAGCTAACAGCCTACTTTCAGTTGGGTGACAATGAGCTTCATGATGGGCGACCCTGTTGACGTCTTTAGTTTGGTCCAAGGCCGTGGGCTCCTGTCACTTTTGGTTGACATTCCATATTTAGAGTTCCTTCTTGTGGCCAGCAAAGAAGAATGGAAATAAAAGTACAGAGAAATAGGAAGAAGCAAACCCTATGTGTGTCTGAAGTCATGGAAAGTGTTTCATCTGTAGACACAGTTGCTTAATCAACACTGAGGTTCGATTTGTGGGAGAGAATGTTAGGGACGTTTGCAGGCATGTTTGTAACCCCAGGGCAGTGAGACAGGTAGGTCTTACTAAAGCTTATGTTCTTCAAAGGTGAGGTCTGTTTGAGTCATCTCAGTATGTTTGTTATGCCTCAGAGATACAGGTTTATTTTTTATTTTTATTTTTTGAAATTTATTTATTTATTTGAAAGAGTTACACAGAGAGAGGAGAGGCAGAGAGAGAGAGAGAGAGAGAGAGGTCTTCTATCCACTGGTTCACTCCCCAATTGGCCACAATGGCTGGAGCTGCGCCGATTCGAAGCCAGGAGCCAGGAGATTCTTCCAGGTCTCCCACACAGGTGCAGGGGCCCAAGCACTTGGGCCATCCTCTACTGCTTTCGCAGGCCACAGCAGAGAGCTGGATCGGAAGTGGAGCAGCTGGGTCTCGAACTGTTGCTCATATGGGATGCCGGCGCTTTAGGCCAGGGTGATAACCTGCTGTGTCACAACGCCGGTCCTGAGATACAGGTTTAGATCAGTGTTTGATTTGAATCTAAAAGTTTAATTATCCACAGAGCTTATTTTATCTATGATTATGTAAGGATATATTGGGAGCGGATGAGTTCCAAGAGACTGCAACACAGAACCGGAGTGGTTTCTAGGTTCGGGTCCTACAAGACCTCAATAGACCTGGGGTGATGTTGTCTGCTGTGGGAGCCTCCAGAGGCAGCCAGGAGAGGGGTCTTCAGCACTCAGGAGCAGGGTGGGAGAGGCAGACGGTGTCTTTTCTGATGCACTTGGCTCCTACGTCTGCTCTGTGCACAGGACGAGCTGGATGAGCTCCGAGCTGAGATGGAAGAGATGAGAGACAGTTATCTGGAGGAAGATGTTTACCAGCTGCAGGAACTCCGGCGAGAACTGGACCGCGCTAATAAAAACTGCCGGATCCTGCAGTACCGTCTCAGGAAAGCCGAGCAGAAGAGCCTGAAGGTGGCCGAGACCGGGCAGGTGGATGGCGAGCTCATCAGAAGCCTGGAGCAGGACTTGAAGGTCAGTCGGGGAGAGGGCCTGATGCTGCAGGCAAAGCCAGGAGGGCTGCCGGGGATCAGGTCCCATCTGAAGATACAGCCCCAGACCTTGCATGCAGAGTGCTTCTGTCTGCCTTAACAAGTCTCAGTGTAGACATTCTTAGTTTACTTTCTGGCTTATAGATTATGTGGGTTTATATGACTTTGACAACCTGAGATTTGAACTGGTCATAATATAAACTGAAATAAACTTTTTTTAAAAAAATTATTTTATTTATTTGAAAGAGTTACAAAGAGAAGTAGAGACAGAGAGAGAGAGGTCTTCCATCTGCTGCTTCACTCCCCAAACAGCTGCAATGGCCAGAGCTGAGTTGATCTGAAGCCAGGAGTTAGGAACTTCTTCTGGGTCTTCTACGTGGGTGCAGGGGCCCAAGGACTTGGGCCATTCTCTCCTGCTTTCCCAGGTGCATTAGCAGGGAGCTAGATTGGAAATAGAGCAGCTGGGACTCAAACGGGGGTCCATATGGGATGCCGGCACTGCAGGCTGGGACTTTAACCCTCTCTGCCACAGCACTGGCCCCTGAAATAAACTTAAAAAAATATCAGATTTAATGGATCTATTATAGAAAGAATCAATACCTGCCAATTAGTCTGACAATTGGATAGAAATAGTACTTTCTTTTGTTTGTTTGAAAGGCAGAGTTACAGAGAGAGAGAGAGAGAGAGAGGTCTTCCATCCACTGGTTCACCCCCCAAATGGCCACAACTGCCTGGGCTGGGCCGGGCCAAAGCCAGGAGCCTGGAACTCCATCCACGTCTCCTACATGGGTGGCAGGGCCTAGATACTTGGGCTGTCTTCCACCGCTTTCCCAGGGAGCTGGATTGGTTCAGTTGAGGGTCACTTTGTAAAAGTTGTCCATATCACTCAACATTTTTATTGTTACTTAGTTTTCTAGGATACACAAAACCTGAAATTTTCGGAACCCAAGTGAAACTTGTGTAGTGTGACTTAATGGAAGACACAGGATCCTACCCAGTTGTCTCTGAGAACCACTGGCAGAAATGAGAATGAGGCGATGAAATCCTAGACTTTATGTCCTTTGCTCTCTCCGTGGGCAACAAGACTGCTCTCGTGACCTGATTATCAAATCATTTATCTAGAGATGAATTATGCACAATGTCCTTCTTGTGAAGGGAGTACTTGTGAAATCTCATCCAGCCTCTCATGATGGGGAAAGAATCTTCGTAATTCTGTCGGTTATCGGTCACTAACAACATGTCATTTTGTACGATAAAGGGTGATTTATATTTGTCTTACGTACTTCCTTGCCTCATTTGCCATCAGAAAGTGAAAATGTTTAACTTGCTTGAACATTCAGGCTTTCTGTCACCCTGGAGTAGAGAGTTTAGAACTTGACCGTGCTGAACACCTGCACACAAATTAGCTGACGGGTTTTTTTTTTTTTTTTTTTTTTTTAGCAGGCATGTTCATTATTACTGTAGGGAACAGAAATGTTTATTTGTGTATCATTAAGGTTTTGAATATATCACTTACAGCCTGTGAGCGTGGGTGTTCTTGTGATTTTCTTTAAAGGGTTATGCAAAGTGGCTCTTTTTTTTTTGGTCCAGATGAAAGCTACTTTCCCACTTAACAATATTGACTTCTTGTTTTAAACCATGAGTCGAATAGCCCTGATCTGAAATGCAGGGGGCCAGAAGAACATTTTGAATTACAGGCTTTTGGCTTAAGGATGCTCAAGCAGTAACACCCTCTCCTTTTAAGTGCAGGTCTGTTAACTACGGCCAGGTCTTGGCTCATCAGCATCACTCTGTAGCTCCCAGTGACTTTGGCCTCTGCGGTTGTCCGAATTACCCTTAGCAGGCACGGCGCTTCCCACCCTGATGGTTTGTTTCCATGTGGTGGATGCAGGTAGCCAAAGACGTGTCTGTGAGATTGCACCACGAGCTGGAGACTGTGGAGGAAAAGCGTGCGAAAGCTGAGGACGAAAATGAAACTCTGCGGCAGCAGATGATTGAAGTGGAGATATCCAAGCAGGCCCTGCAGAACGAGCTGGAGAGACTGAAGGAGGTAACCACCCCGCCGCGGGCTAGCCTTCCTCCCTCGGCCGTGCGCCGTTAGCTACCTGGGATGCGCAGGGTCCCCTACTTGCTGTGTGCTCTAAAACAGGGCACAGCCAGATGACAGAAAGTGTGTTTGGCTCAAGAGCTCAGAATGGTTTTTGCAACTCTGTAGCATTGTAAACAAAGAAACAAAACTGCACCCAAATAAATCCACCCCCTCCCCAAGCAAAGAAGACTAGAAGTAAGACTGCATGTTACTTGCAAGGCCTGAAGTACTTGCCCTTGGTCTAATAATCCCCATTCAGATCGGCTGGCTGTTCATTCCCGTGAGGTGTCCAATTCTGTGTTACCAGAGCACAGAATTAAGCAGTAGATTTTTCCTCCCTCCCTCCCTCCTTCCCTCCTTTCCTCCCTCCCTCTCTCCCTCCTTTCCTTCCTTCCTATTTATTTATTTATTTATTACTTCGAGAGACAGAGCACACCCACCTATCGCTTCACTCCCCAGATGCCTACATCGACACCAAGATGAGGCCAAAACCCAGAGATGATATCTCAATCCGGGTCTTCTGTGTGGGTAACTGGAGTCACTTGAGCCACCACCTGCTGTCCCCAGGGTCTGCATTAGCAGAAAGCTGGAATTGGGAGCAGGAGCCAGGAGTAAAACCCAGGTTGTTATTTTTTTTTTTTTTTTAAGAATCTTTTCTCCCAGTGGGCCAGAAAATATATTATGATTGTCCATTAAAGCTGTGAGGAACCATAATGTATGTATGCTACCTATGTATATTATTCAACTGATAAGATTTAAATATAGATCTTTTTACATTTTAGAGTGTGATTGTTCAACAAAGTGGTCTAGAAAATGAACATATATACATATAGATATGTATACTTTTTCCTTTGTGTACGGCAGTGCGCATCCTGTTTTCTTGTTGATTTCCATTACGAGATTAGAGTCCAGTGTTTCCTTGGAAAGCGTCCTGCATATCTGTGACAATGACATTAGAAACTCCCGGTGCTGGCAGGAAGACGCTGCTCCCGGCTGGCGTGTCACCTGCTGACGGCCTCACTTAGCAGTTCATTTCTTCTTTGGCTCATTTTCCTGCTTCAGCCAGCCATTTGTTGTCCATCCAGCCGTCCAGCAGCACGCTTGGGGCTGGAGACTGGGGCTGTGCGGTTCAGCCTGGCGCGGCGAGCAGAAGGAATTACGGCAAAGCAGAAAGTACCGCCACCATCGTGGGTTCTCCCTGCCCCCATGCTCACAGCCGCCTTCATTCTTGACCTTCATTCATCCCATCCTTTCACAGTGCCCTTCTGGAATGCCAAGCTGTGTGGGACAGGGGTGGGGTTTTGGCTGTCGGTTGGCAGTGGAGTCCCCGTGCCTGGCCCCTACAAGGGAGAGGATGAGAGCCCGGAGCCTGGGTGGCCAGTGCCGGCCTGGGGTGGAAGGAGGCTTCGGGAAGGGAGAGGTTGCCTCTGAGAACTTGCCTCAGTGCCCAGCAATCCCTGGCACTTAGCCTATAGGTGATTTGCCCCGGGCCGGCGCAGACTGCCTGATGGTGGTGGTGAGGTCTCGTCTCGTCCCTCTGCACTCCCAGTTGCTGCTGCTCTGCTCCGTTCTTTTCCCTTTGTCTGCGTTTGCCTGGAGATGGGGCCAGGACGCTTTCCTTCCCAGGATTTCCAGGCTGAGCCCGACCTGGCAGGCAGAGGAAATCTTGTGTGTACAGAATTCTGTATCCTAAAATACACAGCTTAGAAGTGTATTTAGAGGTTTGGCGTGGGTACGTTTGTGTGTAGCTATGTAATATGCATGTGAAATACGAACATACATGAGTATACATGAGGGCACTTCATAAAGTATGCAGGAAGATGGAAACATTTATTTTGGTGCAAACATTTTGAAGTGTGTGCATTTGAGGAGTCTTCTAGAAGTTCATGGAAAATGCATATCATGGAAAAGCTATGCTTGGATTTCACATTTTTCTGTGTCAAAATAAACTTTCCTTTTCATTCTACTCTCCTATGAACTTTTTTTTTTATTTTTTTTTTTAAATTTTTTGACAGGCAGAGTGGACAGTGAGAGAGAGAGACAGAGAGAAAGGTCTTCCTTTGCCATTGGGTCACCCTCCAATGGCTGCCACAGCTGGCGCGCTGCGGCCAGTGTACGGCACTGATCCGAAGGCAGGAGCCAGGTGCTTATCTTGGTCTCCCATGCAGGTGCAGGGCCCAAGCACTTGGGCCATCCTCCACTGCACTCCTGGGCCACAGCAGAGAGCTGGCCTGGAAGAGGGGCAACCGGGACAGAATCCGGTGCCCCGACCGGGACTAGAACCTGGTGTGCCGGCGCTGCAAGGCGGAGGATTAGCCTAGTGAGCCGCGGCGCTGGCCCCTCCTTGAACTCTTTGATATGCCCTCATATATATTTAGGCCAGCAAAGATTCTTCTGAGTAGGTTTAAATGGATTTGTGTAGGACCTGGCATCTCTGTGGAGGAAGAAATGATGACTGCTGTTCTTGACGCTGAAGACAAGGCCGGGGTAGGACAAAGGTTAGGACAAGGATCTTCAGGGAGGCTGATGTGGGCTTGTGGAGATGAGGAAGAGGTAGAGGGGTCACCTCCTCCCACCTCCCACCTCCTGCTGTGGGTTAAAATTACTCAGAGGGATTACTCAGCTGGGGTGCAATAAGGATTTTACCTCTAGAGTTGCAGCCCGACTGGTGGGACTGCATAGCTGAACCAGACTTGTAAATGAGATGTAAAACTGACGGAAGTCGGAAGTCGGAAGTCTCGGGAGGGTTAGATGCTGGGAGATTACACGGGAAGCAGAGAGTGGTGGCCCCTAGTGGTGCAAGGTTTGGAGGTGGTAGAGGAGGTGTTTATTGGGAGATGCCAGCTGTTGGCACTGCAAATGGGCTCCTTTTACAAAAGCCAGAGCAGATGCAGTCGCTTTCCTGTAGCGCCGAGGACGATGTCTTCCCTACTCGGAGCCTTGCTCTCCGTTGTTCAGCTCTGGAGTTTTATAAATGAGCGTGTGATATCCTGGGAAAGGTGAGGGCCGCACACGTGTTGTGTGTGTCTCTGAAGAACAGATGTCTGTGTCCCACTCAGCCTCGGAGGACAGGGGACAAAGGCTCCCCAAGCCCCTGCAGCTCTGTGGCCTCCACGGGGCCTCCTTTGTTAAGCTGCCTGGTGGGCAAATCCCACACAAACTTTCCCCAGCGCTGGAGACGCTGTGTCCGGGACACGTTTTACCCCTCTCCCTAGCCTGTGCCGTCCATCTCTCCTGTTTGTGTCATGGTCCCACATCGTTCTGCCTGCTATTAGTCCACTTGCTCTTGCTTTAACAGAATACCTGGATCTGGGTCCTTGGTTGGAAAGCAGAGTCACTTGTATATAGCTCACAGTTTTGGGGTAGCTCCAGCTGTTAGGCCTTTGGTGGGGGGCTCCTTTTCTGCATCACTGTGTGGTAGCCTCACTGTATAACTCACTCATTCTCAGAAGAACTCAGCGACTCGGCGGACCAGCATTGATCCCTTCGGAGGGCAGCACCCGTGACCTAGGCACCTCCCCCGAAGTCGCACCTCTTCAGGGTTTCTCTGTCTGCACACTTCCACTGGGGACCAAGCTTCCACAAGAGCTTGAGGTTCTTCTCCTGTGCTTTTGTGGTCTCTTGCTGCTCCATGATGTGGCAGGGATGGACCTTGGAACCCGACAGAGTCCAAGAAGGCAGACACAGTGTGTGATCACACTTATAGCAAGTACCCGGGCAGGTGTATTCAGATAGAGACAGCGCAGATGAGAGATTCCCGGGGTTGGAGAGAGGAGAGAAGAGGGACTACGGACTGTTCAGTGGGGAGGAGGTTTCCACTGGGGTGATGAAAATATTTAGGTACTACATAGAAGTGGTTGCAACCACATTGTGAATACAATAAATGCTATAGCATAGTACACTTGATGATGGTTACTTTTATGTTATATGAAACTGTTAATTTTTTTTAAAAAAAGATTTCTATTTATTTATTTGAAAGGTAGAATTAGAGAGAGAAAGAGAGAGAGAGAGAAAATGAATATCTTCCATCTGTTGTTTTACTTCTTGAATGCCTATAACCACCAGGAACTCCTTCTAAGTCTCCCAGATAGGTGTCAGGGTCTCATGTACTTGAGCCATCAATTGCTACCTCCTAGATGGCGTTAGCAGGGAGCTAGATCAGAAGTGGAGTATCCAGGACCGCAGCCAGCACTCCAGTAAGGGCTGCGGGCATCCAAGTGGTGGCTTAACCTGTGTCACAACACTGGCTTCTGTTACATGGATTTTAACCTCAATTAAAAGCCTTTTTTTCTCTATTATGTTCATACTTTCACCAATCCCCCTCAAATGAATATGGACTGATAATATGCATTTTATATATATATGCTGTTTCTAGTCTTTTCTTTTTCTGATTTTCCCTCTACATCCAAGATTTTGACAGTGTCCTTCTCTGCTTAAGCAGCCCTGCCTTGGTTCTCAGTGGCCCAACTCTGATGACCTGCGGGACCATTGCTGCCCAGCCTGCCCCATCTCCCTGCTGGATTTCTCACCCCATGCCTGTAAACCCCGGAGCTAAATCAAAGCGCAGTTCAGAAGGGTGCAAGGTGACCATGCCCTCTGGTCCTCTTTGAACTAATGGAGGTACGCAGAGAAACAAATAGAGAAAAATCTTCCATCTGCTGGTTCACATCCCACATGCCTGAAACAGCCAGGTCCCAGCCAGGCCAAAGCCAGGAGCTGGGGAACTCAGTCCAGATCCTCTCTGTTGGAAGGCAGGGATCCAACTACTTGAACCATCACTGCTGTTGCTTGGGGGTGCATTAGCAGGAAGCTGGAATTTTGAAGTAAGCCTGGTCTCAAACCCAGTCACTCCAGTATGGGCTAGGATGTGGGTGTTCTGGGGGCAGCCAGCTGCTGCACCAAACGCCTGCCCTGGATTGAATTTTTAATTCTCATGTTTTCTCTCTATTGGCTAGGAAGCT